TAAGCTTTTGCTCAAAACTACTTGAATCGAGATTAAAATCCTGAGTTTACGGCCAGATATTCATTTTCTCAGGGCATGTTTTCAGTGTAGATGTTCTGACCTTGTAGCCTCTTCTCTGCTCCAACTAATCCTCCAAACACAAAATCACGCACACCACGAGCTACGAAACAGACAAAAACAAAAAAACACAAATCGAAACGTCTACAAATTATTTCCTTGACAATTTACCGAACACATTTGCACGGTAATGAAAGCTGACTGTGGCGGGATTGTTTCAAATTGCCGTGTGATTATCAGAAAAGCGTCTGGGTGTCAGTGAGTGTGTAGCAAGGAAATTTTGTGTTGACTTAAGGTTTATAATTTAATCAAACACAGCGTTTTGAGCAGATTTGGTTGGGTAATTGTGAGCATTAGGGGACCTCGCGTTGCCGTGGTGATGTCAGGTCGTAGCGAAGGATGCAGACACGGAGGAAAACTGCGCCGGCTTAAAGGTTACTGAGAAAAGAGAATGCAAATGTGTAGTCCGGATTCAGTGTATCTCCTTGGTTGAAGCATGTTGGATTTTGGCTGATTAAATGTGACAAAAAATTTACAGTTTGTCGATAATGTGAGATAAAATGCGGGATAAAGTTTCCTGAATCCAGATTAAATATTGAGGTTGAAAAGTCAAAGTATCTACGTCCAACTTTGGTGCTCTTTTTGTGCAGTAGAAGCAGTGCAAAGATAAATAAGATATTGACTACGTGTATTTTAAGTTTGTTTGACTAAATTAGCGAGAAATTTTGCAGATATGTGAACACTTGCAGATAAAAACGACAAAATATTTTATCGGAAGTGCCTCTTGTTTAGAAGGTGACGGTGTTTTTGGGGCTTAAAAAAGCAAAAATCTGAAACCTCCCTCCAGAGTGGAAAAGTTGAATACGCTCCGCCGTAGCATTTCCGTCTTCACTGCCCAAGACGCAAAACTCTGGTCAGATGTACTCAGGTCACGTACACGTTTACGTCACATGCATACAGTACACAGAAACAAACGTGTCAGATCATTTCCATGCGTCAGACTTTTGGATAAACTTACAGGAGGCTCCCAACAAATGTACAGAATCTGCAGTGATGCCTTGAGGAACCTGAATGACGGAGAATGACCGTACAACAGCGTGCACTTCCTTGAACTCGCCCGAAAACGACAGAGGAGTGACAGAGACAGCTGGAGGGACGAAATATTAAAATCATGAACTGTGTGTCGATTGTTGTGTTATTTAAAATTCTACTATTAGTGAACAGAGAAGGATCTACAATCACCTCTGTCAAAATCTGGATGCATTAGTTCGTCGCAGGCGAGTCAGACGGTTATGGACGAGACCTGGAGAACCAGTCGATGGTGGGACGACTTTGTGGAAGGAGTAGCTGATGAAAATGAGCGGCGTGAAAACTTCTGTCTGACCAGCGATGCCCTTGTTGCTTTAAGTACACAATTGAATTCCAGACACTTTTGCGTCACTGTATGCACGCAGATTTCCTCCCAAAAACGCTCGTCTAAATGCAGAATAAAAAGTAAAGATGCAACGCCACGTTTGCATCTTCTGTTCAGAACGTCATCATATAAACGTAGCCTCGTTGTTTTAAAAAGAAGTACTACAATCACAACTTCACCTCGGTTTCCAGTGTTTAAACCTGGACATCTAGACATTTTTCTCATTCTCAGTTTATGAACAGGCCTCATGCTAAAGCTCAGAACCTCCAGAATTCACTCACTGAGCTGCAGAGGCTAAACTAGCACTAATTCATGTTTGGCTGCAGGTTCTGGGGTTTAATTAGTGACCATTCAAATCAGAGAGACGCATTTTAGGTTTAAACCAACTGGATTTCTGCATTGAACCTTGCAATCCAGATGACTCATAAGGCTCGTTCTACTTTCTGATAGGATAATTAAACTTAGACTTCGACTAAACTTAGACAAAGTTTATTAAACCACAATGGAAATTTTATAAAAAACATAAATAAATGTAGCCTGAGTCATCAGCCAGTTTCACTTCTGTACAAACTGTCTGACCTCACAATGTTAGAATTAATTTGCTCGACGGTAGGTGGGTACTTTTTTAAATTTAACCAATCGCTGCTATTTGGTCGTGACGTATGTAATGCGCCACTAATGGGGCTAACTGGTATGTAGGAGACAGGACTGGTGCAGGGTGTGGTTGAGGGTGTGGGTATATTGCTCTGGTGCAGAGGGGGCGGGGCAGGTGCACGTACATGTGTGCCTATGGAAGGATTTAAAAGTGTGCACTTACCTGTTACCCAGCTTTGACTGAGGGTCAGGGCTGGGTAACTGTAATTTTTGTTGACCTCCACTCTTTCTCGTTACTCACCCTTTATTTTCCAACTGGTTCTATCCATCTTCTTCTCTGCACTGGGATAGCTGTATGTCTGTTAATAAAACGCATTCTGGATCCCAGCGTATTAGTTTACAGTAGCCTTCATGCGCGTCACAAACTACAACCCCAGGACCCATTCTGATCTTCCCAATCGGCTATAAGGTTGGTCAATAAGCCGCTGCATGGTATATTAAGCTTTTCCCAAATCCCGTAGGAAGAAGGGCAATAACGTCTTTCCCCTTGAGAAAATTCAACAAACATTCTCTTTGTTCCGGCTTTGTTGCCAACACAGAATGTATGACTCTTCGCTGATTGTCTGGTGCACGAATTCACACTTCCGGGGTTTTTGCGAACCGTCTAGTGTATTTTGTTTCCACGACCTTGGAAAGAAATGAAATTGAGCGGAGGCACTAGGTGGCGCCAGCCTGGCTAAAATAAATGGGCTATCATGTCCAATGTTTTTGTAATCAAGCAAAGATATTTGATCTGAATTACCTTGTATTTGTGGACACTGCAAGGTCGTATTTATGAAATTGAAAATCAAAATCTTGCATACTGTTCCTTTAAACCACAAGGAGAAAAAGCAATCCCCTTGTTTTTATCAGTATTCAGTAATGTATTGGAAATTTATATTGTTATTGTATTGTAATATATTTTTGTGCCTCTTGTTTTGTGTGGACCCATGCATGCTTTTATTTTAGTAAGTGCCCTGTTCAAACTATTATTTTCCTCTCAAACTATTTTCATTTTCATGTTTGAGAAAACCACTACTGTCTATTTATCCAGATTTGAAGATTACAATTGTCATCTCTTTGTCTCTGGCCCTTTCCTGACTCCAGCCTGCCTCTCCCTCCTTCTCAAATGTCATCTGCAGGTATTAGCGCTCTGCCCATGCTCCTCTTAATTAAAATGCCACTTTATTTGGCTCTGCGTTTGGCTGGGAGCTGCGCACACAGAGGGACTGTTTGAAGGTTAGTTGGGGTCTGCGCTGCTCTGTTCTTCTCTGTATCGCGTGCGCAGATTAATTGACTGGAGGCTACAATAAGAAAAAGACTCGGAAGAGACACCTACGCACCTCTATTATGGAATATCAAAGCTGTTTTGTTTTGCGGGTTGCATCGGGGTCTTAACGTAAAATGTGGTAATGTCACGGCAGATGTTGCATAATTGAAATCAAGCGTAGATGGATTTAAAATGGATATGCAAATTACAAAAACAAGGAGCTGAAATAGACTTTATACTAGATAATAAAAAAACCCATGAATAAATAAATAAATAAAAATCTGCTCAGCTGTTGTTGTTTTTTTTAATGTTTTTGTAGCATCGTAAATACAATACAGACTTTTTTCTCCCACACAGCCAAGACACCTATCAAACCATTATACCAAATAGGGATGGGCATGATTAGTCGACTAATTGATAACTGATCATTAAGAATTTTGTCGATCACATTCATTTTTAATCGACAAACTGAATGTAGCTTGCTGCGTCTGACACAAACACTGGAGTTGTGCCTCACAGTCCCACATTTTGGCTCTGGCTCCTTGGAGACACTGTACCGCTCAGTGAGTGTGTTTACATGGACATCAGTGTCCCGGGTATGATCGGGGTTTTTTGAGTATCCCGGTTTTGTCATGGTGCATGTAAACACAGTATCCCGGTTACTGCAACATGAAGTTGAGTGCGCATGTGTCCAAAATAGGGATGGGCATTCGATGAAATTTTCTTAATCTTAAATTATCGATTAATCATTAACATTTTTATATTAAAATGATCATCATTATTATTACTATCTGCACTACTAATCTGCATAAATAAATTCAACTTTACGACATATAAACCGTAACGACTCTAGAGCCACATCAATCCGTTTTAGATTATATTGTGTTTAATTCAGTTTTGTGCAACTCTCACAGAAACGAAACTTAAAACCGCATCGCTAATTTGCATAAACTCAGCAAAGATAAAACTACAGCTCTTGTGTCGCTGATGCGGTCAATTTCTGTTGGATTAAAAGACATGATTCAGGTGAATACAGGTTAGTGTGACCATATTTGCGTTTGTCAAAACCAGGACACCGTACAGGGGCGGGAGGTGGAGACTCGTCATCGACATTGCGCGACTCTCACCTGGTAAAACTTTTTCCCACTGGACACAGAAACATCTGTGCTGCTTTGTTCACTGTGCACATGGACTCACACTTGTCCCGAACGCAACGGAAAGCGTGGAATTTCTTGTACAAATCATCGTTAAATACACATTTGTGCTTCGGTACGTTGCAGACTGACAGACTGTTTGTGTTTGCTCGCTCCTTCTGAGTGCAGAGACACATGTACAGACCTGTTTGGTCACGCTACGCACAGCAACCTACATTCGATTTGTCGATTAAAATTAACGTATTCGATGAAATTCTTAATGATCAATTATCGATTAATCGATTAATCATGCCCATTCCTAGTCCAAAAAGACAAACACTTTTCAGTCTTTTCTTCACAACAGAAGCCAAAATAAATAAAGTGACAAACATAAATAAAGTGAGTGAAATGATGTTAAATAAAGAGCTGCACTAAACCTGCACACGTCTGATCTCTGAAAACATGAACCATCTCCAACACGACACACACACAGAACAGACTCACCATCATCATCATCATCGTCATCACCCCCCTGTCACAGAGAGAACACTCATATTCCACTGAGTCGTGTTCTTTAGTACAACAGGAGCACAAGGAAAGAGCTGTTTTTTTCAGCGCTTATAGTTTATACAGATGAGCCATGTGGTTTTAAGTTTCATTTCTGTAAAACGTAAACAAATGTGTCAAAGCTGAATTAAACACATTATAATCTCAAACAGGCTGATGTAGCTATTCTGCCTCCACTAGTGTTTCGGAACGAGCTTTACAGATAGTGAACAGTGTCCTCAATAAGCACCCAGGAAACTTCTTGTTGTTTTGGACATTTACTGAAGGGTTGATTGTAAAACTGTAACATACAAAAAATAAATGCATATTACAATTATGTCTTCACATTTAAATGAACAAAGAACAAGCAGAGCTACATAAAACAACGTAGAGCAACTCAACAATTCAATATATGCACAATATTAACAATAACATTAGCATCATGCTAACATCAATGGAAATCTCCATAGACATGCTAACGCTACTAGCATCTTCAATTTTATCAGGAATCTCAAACTATAAAACAACCCAAAGTGCCCCATAGAGTGAGTTAGCATGTCATAACATTACAGTACTCACAGACAGATATTTATCATGGGCCAAAAGACAGTTTACAGGAATAAAACACTTGCAAGTTGAAAAGTCAAGAACAATAAGGCGGCTAAGGTAGCTCAGAGTGGACAAAATAGATAAACTCAAAACAGAAATATTCTCCACTGGGGGCAGAACAGTGGCTCTATAGCGGTTATGGTTTATATGTTGTTTATTTTTAAGCAGATTAATAATAGTAATAATAATGATGATACTTTTAATATAAAAACGTTGAATCTTTAATTCTCCTGACAATCGATTAAGAAAATGTAATCGATTGCCCATCCCTAATACCAAATTGTCACTACTGAAATAACACTTAAATGACATTAAAATAATTTTCTTGACATAGAATTAAAAAGTAGTGACTATTTTGACCAAGTAACAGAAACAAGTGTTATTATTAGGTGGAAGCTGTCACTCACATTTCACAGCAAGACGGTCAAGATGAAGACCTATGGATGGGTCTCGCAGCGCTGTGTAGCTCCAGACAAACTGGAAGAATGAAAGAATCTTAATGGTCCTATATTGCACAAAATTGACTCTTGTGAGCTTTAAGTCATGTTATAATGTTGTTACCTCCTCAAAAACATATCTGGAGTTGTGTTTTTGTTTTTTTTCATTCACACGTTTGATGTTTGAGGCTTTCTATCTTCATGGAGACCAAAGAAGACCGAGTTACAGGCGACCCCGCTCACAGTCAGAATATTTGTTTTTCTAGGTATTTTTGGAGCAATGCAACCAATTGTTATTTAATAAATGTAAAGTAGAGCTGTTTAATGTCATACTGTGGAACATTCCAGGCAGAAACAAGCATGTGATGGACCCCCAACCAAAAAGTTTGATAATTTAATGGCTTTTAAAAGTACGAAAGTGTCAAAATGAAACCAAAAAGAAGCAGCCCAGTGCTCTTACTTAAGGGTCTTATATTATACAAACGTGACTTCTGTGAGTATTTAGTCATGTTATAATGTTACTTCATCAAAAACAGACCTGGAGTTGTGTTTTTTGTAGGGCTGGGCATGTTAACGCGTTAATTTTGCGTTAATTAAATAAGTCATTATCGCGGACAATTATTTTAACGCCGTTAACGCAGATTTTATTATTTATTTATTTATTTAATTGTAAACATCTGTTTCTCACTGGTTTTTATTTTGAAAAAGTCCACCGCGAGCGTTTCTTTAAGTTTGACGTCTTTTCTTTACACTTTTTTCGCTTTTTTCTGACCATGAGAGATGCAACGTGTCCGAGCCTCCGTGAGCCGGGCCCGGCCGCGGGCTCCGGGTCTGGCCGGACCAGCCGTGCTATTCTACTTAAACTATTTCTTTTAGTTCAGCGCTGCAGGGGGAGTCACTGATTTACCCAGATACCATTGAAAAGAAAAAATGTGATTGGTCCATTTCCATTCCATTATATTAACCCTTTGTTTCCCAAGAAATATCAGTCCAAGTTTATAACAATGATTTAGAAATTATTACTAGTGTTGTGTTCATTACTCACTGCATAAAAAATATTGATAAAATATATTAGTAGTACAAAAGTCCATTCAAAATTTTTTCTTGAGCCTTCACTGAACACCTTGAAGGCTCTGAGGTTCCCCGTGAAAGAAATGCTGTTTGCACAACAAATGTGTGGCTCTTTCATTTTCATTTCCAATAAAAGTGCGCTATACTTTACTTTTTAATTCATTAATTGGTTTTGCGTATAACATGCGTATTGCGTATAATCGCAGTCAAACTCATGCGTTTAATGCGATACATTTTTTACATTTTTTTACATTCCAGCCTTAATTTTTTGTTTTTTTGCATTATATTTCATGAGCATTACATCTTTCCTTCCTCGCGTGTCCGGACCTGAGCAGCGGGTGGGGGGGGGGGGGTGGGGGTTCACCGGGCTGCTCCTCTGTGGCAGGCCTCTCTTAAAGTGTCCATCTTATCCGACCGTTACTAATGGGTCAGCCTCTGGAGTCTGAGCCAGAACTGAAGCTTTGCGCGGATAAGGAGCTGAGGAGGTGGAGGTCAAACCAGACGTCCACCTGGAACTAATGTGCTCCAGTCTACTGCCATAAGCGCCAGAAAATATAGTGACAGAGAGAGAGAAACTATTAAAGAAGTTCGGTGAAGGGGATTGCTTTCGGTGGAGTTCTCATCGTGTTGGAAAAGTTTGAAGAAAAATGGATTTGATGTTATATACAGGGAGTAAATCAGTTTTTCAAAAGGTCTTCGAAGAAAACATAAAACTGATATTGAGTGTTGGGAAGTTTACTTTTAAAATGTATTCCCCTACAGATTACAGATCCCAAAATATGGTTTGTCACGTAATCTATTAAATTACTAAAGGTGAGAAATGTATGTAATATGAATACTTTGGATTACTTGATATTGCAATGCTTTTTAAAACTACATAACATGTACCAACCACATCCTGAAAATTCATGTTTGTTCTCTTCAAATTGTCTGTTGAGTTCAAGTCTCCATGAACAGACTTTTGTTTACTGTAGAGAAGCAAAGACGAGGATCTGAACATGAGATGTTTTGTCTGCCCAGTCTTTCCTTAACTGTATTAAAAATATTATTGATGGAGAAATGATTTTTATATGAGATCACTGCTGCCTTAAATTATGTGCACCTACTGTTAGTGTCATATTGTTTAGACCTGGTTTAGTCCTGGTTTAAACCTGGTTTTAGTCGTAGTTTAGTCCAGGTTTAGTCCTGGTTTAGTCCTGGTTTACTCCTGGTTTAGTCCTGATTTAGTCTTGGTTTACTCCTGGTTTAGTCCTGATTTAGTCTTGTTTACTCCTGGTTTAGTCCTGATTTAGTCCTGGTTTTACTCCTGGCTTAGTCCTGGTTTAGTCCTGGTTTTATCCTGGTTTACTCCAGGTTTAGTCCTGATTTAGTCTTGTTTACTCCTGGTTTAGTCCTGATTTAGTCCTGGTTTAGTCCTGGTTTAGTCCTGGTTTACTCCTGGTTTAGTCCTGGTTTACTCCTGGTTTAGTCCTGGTTTAGTCCTGGTTTTACTCCTGGTTTAGTCCTGGTTTAGTCCTGGTTTAGTCCTGGTTTTACTCCTGGTTTAGTCCTGGTTTTACTCCTGGTTTAGTCCTGGTTTTACTCCTGGTTTAGTCCTGGTTTTACTCCTGATTTAGTCTTGGTTTAGTCCTGGTTTTACTCCTGGTTTAGTCCTGATTTAGTCTTGGTTTAGTCCTGATTTAATCTTGGTTTAGTCCTGGTTTAGTCCTGTTTTGGCCCAAAATGAGAAAACAGGAACATACCGCCATGTAATCCATTTATTTCAACAAAGTAACTGTAATCCAATTACCACTCACTGAAACAGTAACTGTAACTGAATACAGTTACTCATAATTTGTACTCTGATTACGTAACTCTGGTACAACACTGCTGATATTATGTGTGAAGCAAAAAAAGAAAAAATAGTACCGGAACAACACAAATTCTCCCCCAACATCAGTAAATGCTCCTTTCGTTACCACTGTCTGCTTTGGTCTCACAGAAAAAGAACATAACGGGCACAGTGAGCAAGTAAAAAACTAAGTAAGTAACATTTATTTATAGAGCGCCTTTTCACAGAGATCAGCTCACAAGGTGCTACCAGCGCTTTTTCCATTTCCCTTTGAATGCATCATCACAGGCCTGATTTTTTGCATCTTAAAATCAGAGCTCTGAGGAGTAAAAAGTGAGGGAGTGCGACGTGACCGATAGTTTTCAGTCACAGCCAAATGAAGCCCGTCGATGCAAGAAGTTATAAAGGTTAATCTGGAACCAAAGCTCCATATATGAAAATCATAGTGCACGATGTTTAACACATGAATCCTGCATATTTAGGAAACACTGTGTTCCACCTTTGTCATGTGGTAATGCAGGAAGTGCTCCATTGTGTTTTTAAACTCCAGACGACTTCACTAGAATCTTTTGGATGAGTTCAGACTGGAATTGCCAATCTCTACTGAGCAAAAGGTAAAAAGCTGTTAACTTGAAAACTACCACTTCATGACATCACAAGGTGGAACAGAGCATTTTAACTTAGGCAGACTAAAGGCCAATTTATGGTCCAGCGTCAAATCGTCTGCATCACGAGGCAGAGACCGCGTTGATGTGAGCGTCCGCATCGACGTGCACCTCTGAAATTTTCTAACTACGCATCGATACGACGCAGACAGAAGGGGAAGCGACGCAGGGCTGTGATTGGTCCTTCCTTCCACCGCACTACAGACATTTCCTGTACTCTGCTTTCCTTTCTTTCAATATACATTGAGCAGTGTTGGAAAGGTGACTTTTAAAATATATTCCCCTACAGATTACAGATTACATACCCCAGAATGTAGTTTGTAACGTAATCCATTAAGGTACTTAAGGTGAGTAACGTAAT